CTGCATCCTCTGCTCTTGCCCTGTGGTGCAGGTATATCCCTACAGCTGCTGCATTTGGTGGATTGTGCATCGGTGCCCTTTCAGTATTGGCTGACTTCCTGGGTGCCATTGGCTCGGGCACTGGCATTCTGCTGGCAGTCACTATTATTTATCAGTACTTTGAAATATTTGTAAAAGAACAGGCTGAGGTTGGAGGAGTAGGTGCATTATTTTTCTAGATGTCCCAAATATTTCATGGTTTGTGTGGAAAGGGAAAGTATTTTGACAACATGCATCATTTAATCCAATAATGCTATTTTCTTTTGACTTGTTTTCAAGTGCTGCGTGGCCCATTGCTGCAGTGGGCACCGAGCAACGCCTGTGAGCAGCGTTAGTACCAGCTGCCTTAAGAATCAAGTTTACATTATCTTGTTTAAGTATTATCTAGTGTTGCCTGTGATGCTGGAAATCAGTTCATCTACCTTGCTGTCCAGACGCTGCAGTGAGATGCTCAAATGTATCAGTTTGGTGTCAGTAAACACTTTTTGCACACAGCATTCAGATGTTAAATTTATTTCCCTGTCCTTAAGAGGAGAAAAAAAAAAGATCTGAATTCAGATTGCCACGAGACAGAATGTACCTGGAGCTTGTATTTTATGTTGGTTTTTTATACTTTTTTAACTTGCATTTCCCCATCACTGAACTGGACACTCCTTCCTTTGCGCTGTCTCCACCCGGGCACCTCTCTCATAGCTCTAAGGGTGGACAATCAGATGTTTTACCAGAGACTGATACACATCTCACCCGGGAGCTGGTTCTGGGGTGGGTTTGCTGCATCACAAGGCCCGGGCTGTTGGGTTCCTGCCTTGCTGTGAGGGGGACAGTGTGGTGGCAGCTGCTGTCCCACCGCTAAGTCAGCCCCGTCGTTTCATTTCAACATGTACTCGTGCGAGCTGTGCCACTGAAACTTCACGTCCACTTTGCTTCTGTGAGTCTAAAGAACAAGGCCTGGTTCCTCAAGCAGTGTTCGGGGGAGGGAAAGGGGGAACGAGGAGTTCCTGCTGCAGATCTTTGTCGCGCTTTACGGCGGCAACGTACAACTGTAAACGTTAGACAATAAACTTATTTAATTAAGCTCTCTCCTGTGTCTCATCCGTGCAAGATGTGATTCAGCTGCAGGTTCTGATGGTTTCTAACATGCTTTGGTAGTGAGGGGGGGCTGGAAGGCTCCTTTTTTTCCTCTTCATCCTTGTTCTAGAATGTAATTCTGATCAGTTTTTAGCAGCTTTAATTAAAATCAGTTTTCCTCCCCTTCAAATCACTGAGCTTTTCTGCTTTGCTGTAACTAATTCCTTTTTCCCTTTGATTTCACGTTTTGATTCCTTCTGTCTTCTCTCATACTTAACTTGAAAGTAGCTTCATTGTTTGTTATGACAGGAAAAGTTTTCTGCTTCATTTCTAAGGCAGAAAAGTCTTCCTAATTATGCATGCTCACCCAGATTCATTTCAGAGCAAGACTTTGATAAGAGGATATGTTTATTACAGCTCTTATATCCTAACCTTTAAGCAACGGTGGAGCAGTCAGCTGTGCACAGATGCACTGAAGATTTACCCAGAAGTAATGGGAGGGAATGGGCAGCCTGGGGACACGTGTGTGTGTGTGTGGCATGTAGAGCTGCCAGGCACATAAGTTCATGCCTCAAACAGAACCCCCTGTCTGGGTCCTGCACGCTGTGACATTGTGTTGGTGCCAGAGTTGTGATTTTTGTAGCTAAACCAAGCAATATGCTTTTTCTGGATAGTTTAGTTAAAACTGGGACAAGGAAGCAACACCCTCAGGTCTGAAGCACAAAAGGAAGTTCCTGAAATGGCAGTTTCAAACACTGCAGCCAGAGTGTGTCCCCGTGTCCCTGTGCTGTCATGGAGGAATCACGGATGGTTGTTTCGCTGCTGGTGTGTGGGGACAAGAGATGAAGATAGGTGCTGTTCCTGCCCCCACCTCGAGTTAACAGGCGGTGGTACACCACCAACTACAGTCACTTCAGCATCTTCCTTACACTGCAGTGATGACACAGTGAGGGATGAGCCGCTCTGAAAATTAAACAGCATTTTTATTACCATTATTCAGTCAAGGCCTGACAGCCTGAGCAGTTGAAGGGACGCTTTTTGTTAGTTACTTAATTCCAGATAAAAATACCAGAATCATTCCTACAAATACTTCTGCTCTACAAGTAAAGCAAAGGACCTGTATTACAAGGAGAGTCAGACTTCGAGCCATCCGAACGAGCAGTTTCCAACTACATTTCTCACTTCATAAAAGGGACCTGAAGTGGTTTTTCTGACGCACGCTTGAGGGCCAGTGCGTAGGTGTAAACCCTGGCGTCCACTGCCAGGTGTTGTTCTGCTGCCAGTTCTGGAAAGCAAGAAAAATACAATCTGTGAGATTATTTAAACTCCTCCTCTACAGCAATGCAACTCCTTCACTACAACAAAGCATTACAGACATGGATTCTTCATGCTGCCACCTGATGCTCTCACTAGCTCTTCCCTGGCTGAGTCTCTCACAGCTTTTTAAGACAGAGTTTTCTTGGATGAGAAAGGACGTGAGGAGCTGTGAGGAGGGAAGCTCAGGCTTTCTCTGAGTGCATTTAACACGTCAGCAAGCTCTTACCATCAATTCTCTGCAGTAGGTCGTTCTTTGGAAGTGAAATAACTTCCACAAATTCTAGGAGAGAACAAAAAAGTGTTACACACCTTTAAATTCGCAAACAGTACAGGAAGTAACCTCAGTGTCCTGTTTCTTACAGTTTAGAAGGAGAAAACCAACTGACTTCATGCTCATCAGCATCCAAAAGCTGTTGAGCCTTCATATATTGCCAAAAGGCTGGTTAAATGGGGAAAGGCAGGGACTGGGGTCATTAAAAAACAGGTTTGGCAGAAAGAAACCGGGAAAAACAGTGTAGCTGACAGCCATGGAGGGTCAGAACCCTACTGAAGGGAGACCTTCTCCCTTCTAGAAATGGGAAATGTACTGAAGTGGATTCTTGTTTGGTTTATACAGGTACAGTAATGGACTATAGATGCATTTGAAGACCGAAACAGCACAAAGAGTTTGTTCTTGATGAGTATGTGTTGGCTTACTCCTCCCCTGTCCACCTGAATTCACTGTCTTTGCGGCTTCCTCTACACCTACTGTGGATTCAGTAATTTGTATGTCCTGAGATACTAGTGCTATAGGTGCAGTGCTTGAGAGAACTGATGCAGTAACACCCCATGTTTAGGACAAAGTCAGTCTCATGCATGTTTGATTAGGGCCAGGAGATAACCAAGCCCAAATAAAAACCAGTTTTAACTGACATGTTCTCAGTAAAACTTGCCATACGCAGCTCACTCTTGACCTTGCTGTCAGTGGGAGCAGTTACCCAACGTACCTCCATCATCTGCAAGGAAAGTAAGAAAAGGTAGCAAGTGAAGGGTTTTGACATACACAGAGCTTACAACTAAAAAGCATTCCGACAGCTGACTGTGAGTGACACTGGAGTTACTTCCAAGGTCAAGCCACAACTAAGAGGAATATCAAGGTTCACAAGTGCTTATGGCCCTCACTGAAGTGTGGCACCCAGATTTCTCGCTGTGGGTTTGCCAACATCTGACACTGAACATCGAGGCCTCCCCAGGGAGTTTAGCAAAGAAGCACAGGTCTGCCTCTCTAGACTGCAGGATATGATTTCAAGGATGTCCAGCACCTACATCAGCTGGGACAGATGTCCCCACAGTGGCAGGGACAGTTCTTTCAAAGCCATCCTTTTGTTACCCTCTTGAATTTTCAAACAAATGGTACAAAACTCACCCAGTTTTTGCTTAGGTCTCGTGTTCTCGGCCTCATCCCCGTTAATGGTGACACTCACAATGTGTGTGGTGCTGTTTGACAGACCTGGGTCCAAGCAGAGAGCTGCCAACAAGCACATGCAGAAGTTAAGTTGTCAAAAGCACAAGTCAGGCACCTTGACTTTTTACCAAAAGCTTTCATAGAAATGCATCTGATACAGTAGAAGAACATGTATTTGGCACATGTTCAGGCTGGAAGGGTTGTGAAAAGTTTGTCTTCACAGGTTTCTGTGCTCTCAGAGCTTTTACAGATCCCTTGTAAGACTTGTTTTCCACAGCTGGGTTTACTTGCCATCCCACAGGCTGCAGATTAAACTGTGAACTACAACTGTCTTATAGACTTCCTCAGTTGAGTCTAATCTGTCTCCATCTCAGTCCCCAGCGTGTTGTACCTGGTAATCAAGAGCCAAGTCTCAACTATTAATGACATTTACTTGAAACCCTAGGGAAGTTGCCTCACCTTTCTACCTTCTCAAGTTTTATTTGTGATCCTCATTTTGTCTTCATTTTGCTTTGGACTGGCAACAACCATGTTCCAAAGGATCTCTGGATTTACTCCAATTATTCTCTCCTTTCTGGCTGTAGAACCTGAGTGCTGTCGCCTCCCCCCACAGCAGCATGAGGTGACCTCCACTCAGGCTGCATCACGTAGCTATCATTTCATACCTAGGTTCACAAAAGCTGTTCACAGTAAGTCCAGCAATTTAGACCTTTCTACTAAAATGCCAAATCACAGCTTGAACAATTGGGTTTTGTGTCAAGGATCTTAATTAACAGCAAAGTTTTCCCCTATAGACATCAAACTGTCACTTCAGTCCTGCATGGTAAGAGGAATTCAGCTACTGACTCAGCAAGGACCAGCCACGGGATACTGCTCCCTGCTCATCTATGTAGGCTTTCCTGCACAGCTCTTTGTCTGTTAGAGTATTGCAGACATTTAGAGTACCCATAAAAGGCAGAATTAGCTTTGGGTGGGAAATAAAAGACAAAGCAAAGACCTGGAGTACATTCAACGACCTCCCCCTTGTACCCTGTTTCTTCCTCCAGCTCTCGCAATGCAGCACTTTCTGCAGTCTCATTTTCCTCAATGAGGCCTGTGGGATAAATAACACACAGGAACTATTAAAAGCAAGCACTTGACCACAACACCCATCCCAGATCAAATCCAGCCTTAGGGAGGAGGTGAAACGTCCTCACTACACTACTTTTACAGAGGGATAAAACTGAAGCATTAGGCAGGATTCCAGCTCCTGGATTCATCAGGCTGCTGCCCACGTCTTCAACTGACTGTCTGCAGAAGCTTTCCCAGGCTGATTATCTGCCACCTTCCCAGGAAACAGCATTAATATCCTCATGAGGGAAAGAAGCCAAATGCTTTGACTCTTAAGGAGTGGAGGAAAATGCAATATTCTGCCAGACTGCTGTGCAAAATGTCTCCAATCTGCTAAAATGAGCCCATTTTGTACCCTTCATCACCAAATATTCCTATTTGGGAATAGCACACTGAGCTACAGAGCTCACCACGGTTTTCCAGTTAGAGCTACTTTATTGAGATTGACACTCCAAGCACATCTAAACACACTTAACTGCCAGCTTTCTGTGACTCATCCTAATGCTCCAAGCACTTACCTGCAGGAAATTCCAAGCAATAGCCATTAATTGGGGGCCTGAACTGTTTCACGAGGACAATGCAGTCGTAGTGGAGGGTTCTCTGTAGTACCGCTATCACTGCGACACCTACGAATAGCCACGGAAGACACGAGTACATAGAATGAGAGCATAGCAGAAGGTACTTGGTGCTAGATCTGGAAAGGAACACAAGCACTGTTACTCTGAGAAGTAAACATTCAGATGCCTGCTCCAGAATCCTGAACTATGGATTTAACCTCATTCTATCAAGCATGGTGAGAGATAAAAGCCCAAAATGGGATCTTCAAACAGCAAACAAAAGCCACATGTACCAAGCAAGACTGATCCTCAGCCCACCAGTACCTACAGAAGTGCTCTCTTGCCTGCAGGCTGTTTGAGAGCCTACTCCCCTACACACTCCCTTCATGGCTAAATCATCTCCCAGAGAGAACTGCATTCCAAGCCCCTCACAGCAGACCCAATTCACCAGTCTGTGAGCTACTCTCTGCCAGGGCACCCAGGTCCTCTTTGAAATTGCTGCACTGTTCTAAAGTGAATAAAACGATCTTGGGAAAACACTCCTACCAGTAAGGTTCTGGCTCTTCAACACTGAAGTTTGCATTTCATTAGCTCAGGGGCATAGCAAACACTGCTGAGCTATTTGTTCCACATCTTCACTCATTCATAGAATCACAGAATGGTTTGTGTTGGAAGGGACCTTAAAGCTCATCCAGCTCCAACCCCCTGCCACAGGCAGGGACACCTTCCACTAGAGCAGGTTGCTCCAAGCCCCTGTGTCCAGCCTGGCCTTGAACACTGCCAGGGATGGGGCAGCCACAGCTTCTCTGGGCACCCTGTGCCAGCGCCTCAGCACCCTCGCAGGGAAGAGCTTCTTCCTTATATCTAACCTTAATCTCCCCTCTTCCAATTTAAAGCCATTCCCCCTTGTCCTGTCCCTACAAACCCTTGTAAAAATCCCCTCTCCAGATTTCTTGTCAGCCCCTTTAAGCACTGGAAGCTGCTCTAAGGTCTGTGAGTTTATCAGAAGATCTTTCACAGGTAAAAATGCAATCAAAAAGCACCAGTGTCTTACCATCAGCTGAGACCCCCTTTTTGTTGCTAGTACGCTTTACAGTTTCCCAAGTTCTGTTTAACACAGAGGAAAGAACAAATGAAGATATAAGTTGTCTTCTAGTCTTGATATTTTCATTTAGAAGCAAAATAGACCATCACACAGTGAGCCCCTACAAGCAAGCAGTCAGCCTTAGGCAGGCCCTGTCATATGCTGGCTCTGTAAAATGTCTGTAGTATAATTTTGTTCAGCCTATTTAAAGGAGGGAGAAAGAATATAGTTACTTAGGGATTGTTTAAGATCAGTAAAAATAAAGGAAAGATAGGAGTGATTGTCACAAAACAGGCAAGTCTTGTATAAGTGATCCTGGAAAAGTGCAAAAAATAAAGCAATTCCTACATAAACCATGCCAGATTTGTAACAAGACCGTGTGCATTTTATCTTTTATCCTGCTTTTACATAAGGTGTATATAGTGTAAATATATTTAGCTCAGTTACATGAGCATACAAGGAGCACACAGGCAGGGAAGACCAAAGCTTCTCTCCCAAATTAAGCAATGGGATGAGTAAAACCCTCAAATCCACAAGCAATAAAAATCCCTTCACAAACACTCCAATCTTGGCTACTTTTTAAAAGGCTTCTGTGCTGATCAATTGGGAGGCACTCGAGAAAGCCAGCAGCAGAGAATCTAACACATCGAGGGGAGGGAAGTAAAGCAACATTGTCACAGCTAGAAAAATACAGTAGAACTAAGGCACACAAAAGGATTGGACAGGAGTGATAATGTCATTTGTCAGTAGTACACAAGATTCAGCACCATAAGCAGGAGAAAAGGAGCCTCAGTGAAGAACCAAAAAAGTAATAGGACAGACTCTGGTCATCACAGTCTAGTTGCGTGGCTAGAACTTGCTTCTGCACAGTTGCAAGGCACTGGAAATGCCAAGTAAACCAACATGCCCAGAAGGATTGAGGAGCCCAGTTCAATCCCACATGCCAGCACTTCTGCTAGAGTAAGAGGTTATTTTTCTCTGAACAGTACAAACTCTAAAGGAATTGGAGAGTGAATAACTCTCATCTTGTGTTGAGTAACAGGTTTGGAATGCTCCTTTCTCCAGCCTGTGGCTAGGCCGGCCGTATGATTGGGAACAGTATAAGAATCTGAAATGCCAGAGAGGCAGTTACCTGGTTTTACCAAAGGGATCAGTGTAAGTTGTTTCTTCAAGCTTCAACCATTTTCTTTCTGCAATTACCTAAAATATAGAATTTTATTTGGTTAAATACATTATAAGATTAATCACAACATGGGAACTACAGGGAGAAACAACACAACTATTTTTGGATGCTTTTGAGGACAAAGTCTCACCAGTGGAATACCTGCAGGACCGTGCAACAACATTCCTGCAGCTAATCCAGAAAAAACACATTTACTCCAAGCTCTTGAATAGGAACAGAAGATAAGCCCAGTAAGTTTACGTGACTTTGTAAGCAAGTTTCAATGAATCCTCTGGGATTTTATGTACTGAAAAGTCCTTATCTTTATAGAAGGCATTTGCAAAGGTCATGTTTCAGATGAAAAAGGGTGACTGGTCTGCACAGACTTCAGCTACACTGGTGATCATGAGTGCCTACTTATCAGAGAGCATGGCCTGTACCTGAGCATGCAAGACTGAAATCCAAATTGTTCTGAAATGTTTCTTGCTGTGATTTCAGACTGTGGCCTTGTGGAACTGCTGTTTGCTGTAAGCAGTGATGCCCCTTCAGGATTTCTGAGCTGCTGATTGAGTGCTTGGCATTAATGTTATTACAAAGCGTCTTCTCTGAGCTAAGTGAGTTTATTTGCCCTGGGTATTAGCCCAGCAAATTACTTCTTTTAATGTAACTTGTATTTTAAGGTTTGCTGAAGGTATGGGCAGACAGGATGGTCTGCAGGATTTTGTATCAAGTTGGCCATAGGTCTGACTACAGAAACCAGAAGGAATTGGGAAGATGAACAAAGCACTTCCTATTGAGTGATGAATCGAATGAGACACATTGCTGACAGCAATGGAGCATATGTAAACAAGGGGAAACCTCATGAAATTCAACAAGGGCAAATGCAAGGTCCTGTACCAAGGTCAGGGCAATCCCAAGCACTCATACAGGCTGGGCAGAGAACAGACTGAGAGCAGCCCTGAGGAGGACTTGGGGGTGCTGGTTGATGAGAAGCTCAACATAACCAACAATGTGCACTTGCAGCCCTGAAAGCCAACCATGTCCTGGGCTGCATCCCAAGAAACGTGACCAGCAGGTCAAGGGAGGTGATTCTCTCCCTCTGCTCTGGTCTCATGAGACCTCTCCTGCAGTCCTGTGCCCAGCTCTGAGGCCCCCAAGATAAGAAGGATGTAAAGCTGATGGAGAGAGTCCAGGCGAGGCTCCAGCTGCTCTGAGGGCTGGAGCAGCTCTGCTCTGGAGCCAGGCTGAGAGAGCTGGGCTGGTTCAGCCTGGAGAAGAGAAGGCTCCTGAAGGGGAGACCTTAGAGCAGCTCCAGTGCCTAAAGGGGCTCCAGGAAACCTGGAGAGGGGCTTTCTGCAAGAACAAGTAGTGACGGGACAAGGGGGAATGGACGCAGGGGCTTGGAGCAACCTGCTCTAGTGGAAGGTGTCCCTGCCCGTGGCAGGGGGTTGGAACTGGCTGATCTCTAAGGTCCCTTCCAACCTAAACTGTTCTATGATTTGATGATTCTTTGAAATGAGGATCTGGGAAAAAAACCCACAACATAAAATTGTAGCAAAGGATGAAGTCTGAGAGGTCATTCACGTGGCTGGCAGACTGGAATGCTCTAGTGCAGGCTAGGAGCAAATAGGGCCTGTGTGGCCATGCAGATCTTGAACTTTAAAGTGAGAGATTCACCAACTAAAAAAAGAATGTAGAGAAACAAAATGTAGCCTATGATGCAGCTCTAATTAGGGTACACAAGCACAGTACAGCATCAGTTGTGGGCAGAAGGCAAACCAGAAGTGATACAAGTATCTAGGAATTTATAAGTGAGGTGGATGAACTCATGTAAGGTGTTCTTCAGAAGAACTATTTGACAGGCAGTTGAAGTAACAGTAGCACTCCCATGGTTGTAAACCTGCCACAGGTATTTTACATGTAGGAGTTCTGGCATTTCTGTTGGAAATATATTTCCATATAACAGGAATTGGAAAAGGAGAGCTATGTGTTCTCAAAAGGGCTTTCTAATGGCTTTGTGGTCACAAAACCATTAGCAGGAAAGGAGATTAAGTATATTGTGCTCATTACAGAGACAAGAAGTAATTCAGTTTGAAAGCATTTAGGTATATTTTAAGTAGCTTTGTATTCACTCCTACAGGACTGCAGGACTAGAGCACAGGAAGATCCAAAAGAAAAATAGATGAAAATCGTGTTCCAGTGGTTGTCCAAAGAGAGGAATATACTTCAGTGCAGTAAACACAGACAAATATTTTGTGTTCATGAATGTCTTTAAACACTGCAGAGAACACAGAGATGGAATATAGGTGGTCCCATATCACTGCAGCATTCAACAGAACTGGAGGATCATTCCCCCGTCACCAAGTTATTGCTAAGCAGAAAGGGGAAAATGGCTGAAATCATAATCACATCATTGTCCCCAGGAATCTTAAGATAAAAAGAAATCCCTGGTCTGTAAGAAATGAGACCTGTCCACGCTCCAAAAAGACAGAAGAAAAATAAAAAGTAGGTTACAAAAGAAACAACTTCAAACAAAATGTCTTGGTTTCAATCAGGTATTCCTAAGCACAGCTTTTAGCCTGTCACAGAGCTCCCAGAAACAGGAAGAATAAAACAAAATCAGCCCCACTTCGATGGAAGAAGATGTTCCAACATCATACCATGTAGCTACTGAAGAGTTACAGAACCACTTTTAATATAAGGGCCACTGGCAGAGGCATGGTTAATACTTTCCTGTATTAATTCCACAGATTGACTGAACAAACTAAACAGCAAGGAGAGGAACTAAGAGGCATTATGAAAAAAAGAGGATAAAATTAAAATGTTGCCTGCAAGAACACAGGTCTTAATAGAAAACCCCAAAAGCTTAAAAAACCTAAAGCCCTTATGCCTGAGAAATGTTCATATTAAACAACCACCCCAGGGGAAGAGCCATAAACAGATCCCAGCAACACAAGTCTTTTGTCACCTGAAAAGCTTTTTTACCTTGAAACCTAGAGAAATTACAAGACTGGGTGTTCATTCCAAGGAAGGAATGCTGGATAAAAGAAACTACATTCGTGTTACAGCAACAGTGTGATGCTGTTGCCACTTTAACATCGAAGGTTAACTTCTAAGAATTTACTCAAAGTAGAAGAGAAACAAATAGAGGCAGTTTAAATGAGGGTGCTTCTAATAAACACCCAGAATTACCTCCAAATTCCTTCTTTGGGACTTAATATCTTCTGATTCTGTGAAGATGTGAGCACAATATTATTTGAAGGCTCTTACTACCTCCTGACTAATGTCTTTAAACAGCAATTCTCTAAATTCAAACTTTTTCAGAAAGCATCAAAGAAGGTACAGTCCTAAATGTTAAGGAGCTCACTCTTAGTGGTTCATAATCTTGCAGGAATGGAAACCAAGGCTGAGCATCATGACCCACCGACTGTAATCTCTCAGAGGTATCAGCATTACTACTTAACTTTGCAAACAGCCTGGGCAGACAACACAAGAAACAGCTGCAAAGTCCCCCTCCCAAAGCAGCTTAAAATCATGCAACGCTGTAGATTCCTCTTTCCCCATTGATAAATATTGATTATTTCAATACAGAGAAATGCCACCCTCTTTGAAACTCTCTGCTCATCAGGAAGAAGTGTTTCATCTATTGAACGGGTTCTTACAAACACTCAGCATCTACAGCATTTCTTACTCTGCAGTCACCAAACTCTGATTAGTCTCAAATCGTTATTTAACAACAGAACATGTGCTAAAGCCAAGCATGTTGTACCTCTTCCTTAAGGACGAACTGTCTAGCAGTTTTTGGAACTTCTGTGGATGTCTCAGCTGCCATTTTCCGGAATGCCAGGCTTTTCCCCTCCTGAGCGAAGTCCAGGTTACTATGAAACAAAGTCAATATTTGCTTTCAGAGAAAAGTTAAAAGGTTCTGCATTCTAAATTAACAAATAAAACTTGCTGGAGAAAGTTAGGGACATGTGATGGCAAGTCAGTTCAGTTTTCAGCTCCACCTGATGGGTTCAGAGTCAAATAATTCAAAGGAGAAGCAGAATTTTGGGTCAGATCCCTGACTTACGTAGTTGTAAAAGTCCAATTGGCTGCCAAGTGGCTATGCTGGCTGAAGACACCCTGCTTAACTATTCAAAGGTCAGACACACACAGAGACAAAACTGATCCGTTTCAGTCAAATTGTTTCATCCTGATGTGGGTGAAGTGCTCTGTCAACACAGCACTACCACAACAGGCCTACGCACTCCACTGTTAAAGCGGAAAAAAAACCTTATATCAAGATCTTGGTGGTAAAATCTGTCTGCTGTTGAGAAAGAATCAGAACTAGAGCCTACCTCCACCTTCCATGCATCACAAACACCTAAATGACTCAATCCTTCCCCAAAAACAAGGTCAAAAAGTCACCTGTGTTGCAAGCCTAGGTGGCACATGGAGTTAGCGTGACCACAGCACGTCAGTCACGCTTACTGGGAATGATGTGGCTAACACTGTCCAAAAGGCAATTGACCACGTGCCCAAAGCAATGCTCTGCACCTGCAGCTCAGTACCTCAGCCTGCATCTTAATGCTCTGCAGGAAGGTAAGATTGTCCACTCGCTTTCCCAACTCAGTCCCAGCTGAAAGCCACATCAGGCAGCACTAAAATACATGCATTAGAGATTCACCATTAGCCCCCTGTCTCACTGCAGAGCTATGCGGCACTCTGCACAGAAGCTCTTATGCCAAGGAAGCTCATCTCCGACATTAAGTTGTAGTTCTGAAGTCCTGAAAATGAGCATGAATCATGAGTAAAAAGACAGTACAAAGAAGTGAAACAGTTTAAACACCAGGAGAGATGGGCTAACCTTAAAGATCTCTGTAATTCTGGTGGTTGTAAAGCTGCCATAAAGTCAACAGGAATCTTTCTGATGACTTCAGACTGGGGCCTTCAGCAATAAACAGTACCAGAAGCAAGTGACCACTCTGTCATACCCAATTATAGCACTTGCATTTCTTACTTCATGTTTATCCTTTTCAGATAACATCTACTCCACATTTGTGAAACATTTAACAGCATTCCACAAAGTAGTTAAAGGGAATAGGTCCTACAAAATAGCTCTCTTTATCAGCAGGATTAAAACTAATGTATATAAATCCACTTCCTCAGCATATCCACAGGGCAGGCGCTTTCTTAAGACTTAATGACAGTCTTGTTGGATAAAGTGGTCTAACGTTCAAGTTGTTTTTATGTAACATAAGTCCTGAAAAGAAACCCTGATCTATTAAACCCAATTCTGTTCCTTCAAAAATATGTTCTACAATCCTTTCTTAAAACAATGAAGCTCCATCTTGTAACTACGTAGGTTTACTATCTACCTTACTACAATTTGTAAGAAAAACTGTTCTAGAACCTCACTTATAATTCAATTTCTATGCCATATTAGTTCAGTTAGCTGTTACCAGTTTGTTCTTGAGCCAGCAAACTCTCTTCCCTCAGGATTTAAGAGCTGTAGCTGAACAACAGCCATGTCCCTTGCTGTGGCTCTCAAATACAAGATCAAGCTTTCCACCAAACCTATGCAAGAAAAGTGCATCCCAGCATAGCAGTTCCAAGAGATTCCTGATCATCCAGAGTAAAATCCAGACTAAACAGCCAAAGGAGGCTCTGTGTGATGCTGAAAGTTTACAGCTTTAAAAATAGAAACCCCTCATATACCTACCTACAACAATTCACCTCCTGTTTGGGAAGAATTAGAGCCTTTTTGACTGACAGTATAAACATATCAAGAGAGCAGATAGCAAACCATATCCTTGTTAAACTCCTTTTTTTGATAAGGCTCAATAAATCTTCATCTTTTAGTCTCCCCTCACAGGAAATCCTGTTCCATTGATCATCTAATCCTTCTACACAAGTTTGGAAGTACCTGTGCATCTTTCTCAAATGTGGATTAACCCCAGTTATACCCTAAGTCCCACAAGCTGCTACAGTAATGGTTTGCAGAACAGTATAAATACTTACCTGTATCAGTTACAAAACCATACTAGAAGCTCATCTCATGGCAGAAGGTGTTTTCAACACAGTTTGCGCTCTTCTGCAGTGGACAGATTCGAGGGTGGCTTCTGACTGAAAAGAACAAAAAATTAGACAGCTTCAGTGGCTTGAATTATCACTGAAGTCTAAACCAGAGAGGAACTCAACTGTAGCTTCTGTAGTTTTGATTTCCTCCACAAGTGGGTGCAATAACTCTATGCTTGAGTGACATTTTAGAACGTTCCACCAAAAAAAAGGAATTTTTCCCAAATTCAGTAGACTGAATGTGAGGGAGAACTTCTGCTGTTAGAAAGCTGAAATACCATTTGGTTAAATGAAGGCTGTAATTCTGGTACCTCACATCAGTCACACTGTCAAGGGTGGCAACACCTTTTGTGCATGAACAAAATTAGCTCCAACTGAGAATTAAACTTAACACTATAGCGTTAGGTTTCTAAAGCCCTGTGTTAGGTTTCACAATAGACCCTGTCTTGCAGCCCTCAGGCAGGAAGGTTCTTCTGCTGGCAAATCAGGCTACTTGTTCCATTTATTTCATGTGGGGTCAAACTCAGACCAGGAAAGGGCATACCATTTATAAAAAGCATAACTTTATTCCCATGGCTTTTTACTTTACTGAGTGGCTTCTTGTCAACAAAAGATCCCACCATTCTACAGCTTCCAAATTATCCTTCCCAGGAATTAAAATCTTAAGCCAACTGCAGCCTGTGAATCAGCTTAGAGTGTGGCCAAGCTATGAGGGCTTTGCCTTAACCTCTATTCAAGTCAAGATAGAGGGATTAGCTTTTCTAAATCACTTTTCAAAAGCTATTCTCTGATCCAAACTCCACAACCCAGCTGACAGCAACCAGGTTTAATGCAAACTCAGCAACGGTGCCCTAAGGCAAGCTTAAAATGAAACAAAATACAGCATTTCTTATACAGAATGAGCAGAAAGAGACACTGGCAGAGCTTTAGGCATGATACCAACAGTATGCTGAGACATGTGCACTGAGGGTAAACATCACAGGAGCTCCGAAGTCACTTTAAACTTGTTACCATCAGTCAGCGCACTTAAGATTTCACCAATGTGACTCTAGCAACAAACTCAATTCATTAGTGGAAGTTGATGAGAAAAGGAGAGGAAAATGTGGGGGGAAAAAAATGTTTCATCTTTGTCATGGTACTTATCAGTGTGGATGACGCTCTCAGCACCAAATAGAATATGGAAAAGTAACTGGTTCTTGCCCTGCAGAACAGACAACAACAAAAACCATCTTGCATAAGCAGTGGAGGGCGAGTGGCATCTCCATATTGTTATCAACCTTCCAGACAACTGATGTGTGAGGGGTTGGGAAGGCAGCTTCAAACAGCAGATGTGAGAGCAGGGAAACAACCCAGCCTTCCACACAGGGAACACACATGCAAAGAGACGACAGCTTAAACAGAATGTATTATTCAGTCATTACTTGACTCTCCCCCAAACCATAGAAGGGTTTGGGTTGAAGGGACCTTAAAGCTCATCCAGTTCCAACCCCCTGCGACGGGCAGGGACCCCTTCCACTAGAGCAGGTTGCTCCAAGCCCCTGTGTCCAACCTGGCCTTGAACACTGCCAGGGATGGGGCATAACACTTATTAAACAAAACGCAGCCCTGCTTGAGGACAGAAAGGCAGCTCTGTCGCTACAGAGCCCCTCACAACGCTGCAGAGATAGAACCTTACGC